TATATCTTGTAACAGACCCAATTCTCAACCCCATGGGGATTTTGTACACTATGATCTTTTTTAATAACACGTGGTCTGGGAGCATTCCAATCTGGCCAATGGGGGTGTTAAGAGATAAGACGAAAAATGAATTACCTCCCCTTTAAAAAAATAATTTAAATAAGAGATAGTGACACTTATTCATCCACAATATCTCATCAGGTCATCAAATTCTTGGAAATAATAGAAAGAAATATTTTAAAATCAATTCATACGGTTTTTTTTATCTGTTTGAGACATTGAATTATCTCGCCTTTTCAATTTTTCATGACAAATAATGTTTTCAGTGTTTATTGCTAAACCAAATGATATTCATACGAACTTGTTAGGTATGTTTTGATAGCACAATGCTACAGAAAAAAGAATTTTTTTGTATATTTGCAATAAGTTCTTATTTGCCTACACAAGCTTATCAACTGGTACAAATAAATATCCAATTGAGAATATCTCTAAAAAGAATGACAATTGAAAGAAATTAAATATAGTAAGCAAATATATATATATATCATTCTAACACGACCCGTGTTTTACCCTTTTGAACAGAGAAGAACCGAAAGTGTGTGTTATTATGCAATAAAATCACTGTTGACGTTCCATATTTAGACATGTGACGTAACCACTAAAAATGCAACGCCCTGAAAGTACGGAAACAAACCAGGCGCAATTTAGCTTAATATCAGGTATGGCAGCATTACTCGTATTTCTTAATGTCGAGTTAAAATCGAAATAATATATCCAAATCGATGATTTTATCGCTTGATAATTTAATCACTGTTTGTTGTTCGGATGCGCATCATTATATCACTTGGGCTACGCCCTCGTGATATAATTCCTCGCATCCGAACTGCAAACAGTGATTTTCTTGAGAGATAAAAATCAGTTTTGTATGTATTATTTCTTATGTAGATCTACATGCTTTGTATTTTGTAATTTGCAAAAAGATAACAAAATTATCAGTTACAGCTAACAGTTACAGTTGCAACCAATATTTTAATTAAATGCTTTACATCATTGATATACACTTAGACTATAAAAAACTGTTTACAGGTTACAGCTTGGTTTTCATAAATTGTGAATTTAGTAACCAAACTCTTTTTATGGTAAAAATGCTATAAACTACGAGATAAAAAAGAGAATGATTTTTAATATTTCAACTTTACTTTATAACATTTTAAACTTTAAAAATATTCACGTCAATTATATTAAAATGATTAGTTATATTAAATGAATTGCAAAAAAAATATGAGGTAATCATCTTGCACACTTGCATGCTCTATCGTTACTGACGATTATCAACTAGATTTTTCAATTTATCAAACATAGTTTTTTAATTTTATGTAAATTACCACATGGACAGTTTATTTATCATATTTTTGAATATAAAAAAGTAAGTATGAATAATCAGAAGTTTTAATATAACTACTATTGACATAGTATGAATGCAGCATTAAATCAACTCCTTCATGATTTTAAGCTTAACTTTTTTTGCACAATATATACTTTGAGAGTATGTTTAAACAAATATAATATTATTCAATTTGACCTTGCTTATGCATTTAGTTGTAAATATTCAAAACATGTCTCTAGCATTTGGCAAACTGTTGTGCTCATAAATCTCTCATATGCATTTAATTAAGTATTGAACTATATAAATATACTTCTTATTCATTTGATAATCACTACAATATTTAAAAGATTAACATGTATCTAACGCAAACGTGCATTTGCTGTTGATTAAAGTTACGCATATATGTTTTTAAAGTGTGAAAGGTTTTAAAATGTAAATATGACAATGGTAGTTTTATATGATTTGCTACGCCTACTATTATAGATTAATATCACACGCTGGGTACATGCAGCTTTGCGTTATTTAACTCGACGTCATTAAAATAGAATGCGTTATTGTAGTGAATATGGAATAAATTCTCTCTGAAAAAATGTTTTCGCTCGCACTTTGCGCTTTCAAACACTGGAATATTTCTTAAATGAGGTATATTCCATACTTATTCTACTGAAAAAAACAACGAAAAACAACAACAACAACGACATCATCAACAAAAGCAATTATCTCTGTCAATAGTAGCCGTAACAAGAGAATTGAAGTAAGTATTGAAAGCAAAAATTTTACGTTTACTATAAATTTTGGTATAATAAGATTAAATAGTTTAAACAAGGCTATATTTTAAAGCATGTTAAATGTGTTTTTAAGTAATTGTATTATATGTACACATTATAGCATTTATTTTTTATGCTATTTACTAAATACCAGTACTGTACATACTATTTGAACATCTTACCGTGGTCACGCATATCTTATCGTATGAAAGAAAGATAACATTAGAAGACCTCAGCCGATCTTTGGTTTAAATTGTATTTACGACATTCTTAAAAGAAGTTTGGCTTATCATTTGAGCAATTTAAGGGCAATGCTCTGGACATAAAGAAGTTAGCAGCTTGTCTTATGATATATATGCAATAATTTCCGTGTTTCATATATAAGAAAACTTAGATAACTGTAACACCTTTAATTTGAAGTATTTGAACTTTATAATGGAAATGACCTTATCATACGGTATGGTATGTATTCATTATTATCATTTAAGTGTTAATGAGTTATGAAATTGCTTCTATTGTTTTTTACGCCATTTTTTACACATTTGGCGGTCGGTCTACCTAACTTGCTTTCTTGATAATGAATCAGCAATTAACATTTTTACGCAAGTTATGGAATTCTTATTCAACATGATCTTTGAATCAGCGGTGAGAAAGACAATGTCCGAGATCAATTTTCACAATGACATTTCGTCTCGCCCGAGGAACGAATAAGCGACCCCTGGTACTCTCCCTATTGACCTAAGCGAATTTTGAAATATATTGTTTTTGAACTTATTTTTGTGGCAAAAGTGGTAATTACAAACATGAATTAAGCTCTCTTTTTGTCCTCAAAAGCTAATTATCTACTTTGTGTCGTACAGGAGTGTAACACGTTGGTTTTATTAAGACGTGTGTATAGCTTTAATAATAACTGACTCGGTTTGAGTGCGACTGTTCATAATTTATATTTCTAAGATAGCTTGATGTTTCTTCCTATTTTTTTTTATCTTATCCGGATGATCTTGTTTCTCAGATACGTGTTTATTTGTCGAATGAACACACGTAAACAATTTAACACAGTTTCGACAATGTTTGAGAAATATTTTAGGTAGATTGTGTTACGTGATTTATAAAGTAAACACCTTAAGACTTTTCTTTTTTTTCAAGATAAAGATCTATTTTAGATACAACGTCCTAGTTAGAAAAACATTTTATGTCTTCTTGCTACTTTAAATTTATAGAACACTGAAATAAATAACAAAACTATGGTAGCTGATTTGTGCCATTCGTGTTTTCGCCCCGATTTCCAGATATTTCTATTATTTGCTATTATATATTATTATAGTAATTAACCCGTCCGTGTTTTGCTTTGTGTCAAGTTAATTGAATGGTAAATTATATGATATAAACCATTTAATTTTAAATAGGTAAATTATTTTACTACGAGGGTGGGTAATTATGTAGAGCAATATGGTCAAAAAAATTAACAAAAGATTTAAATTCTCTATTATAAGCCTTCAAAATAATCTCCGGATAGAAAAGCAAAGTTTCAGACAGACTTTAAATGCAATTTTTAAATGCTTCAACATAGTCCTCCTTAGATGTACCTTTTAATAACCGTAAAATTGCCGACCCAAGTGCATGTCTACACTTGTAGTATTGACATGCAAAATATGTTTCTTCAGTCTAAGAAATGAGGATACAGTCACAAGATGCCACGTCTGGAGAATACGCAGACTGTTTAAGGACAGTCACTATTTTTATAAGACAATAATTTCAATACAATTTTGTACTTTGTGTCGTACAGGAGCGTTGTCGTGAAGACAATACCTTTCAACTGTTCTTTACATGACATCTCAATAATACTTATATGTGACAGAACGGCCTCTAGAAACAGGAATTGGACAACAGTATAACAGGTGAAAATGTAGCGTGCATAACTTTCGTTACACTTGTCAATAGCTTGGAAAGGCATTGCCAAAGAACATTTTCGGTGGGCCAAAACTTAATGTTTAATGTACGACTTGGAAGGTGGCGTAAAATAGTTAAACCAGCTTTCATTACCATATACGTTACTAGTTAAATGGAGACTGTCATATCTGTGGAAGCATTTTCAGTATTTTCGAGCCAATTTGACTTGATATTTTTTCTGGTCAGGTGTTAGCAAATAGGGTATCCATTTTTCGGCTATGTACTTACCTTTCAAGTGATTCTTCAGTATCGTATATGTTGACCTTTTGATATACCTGCGATATTGGCTATCAGGGTAAGTGAAAGTCTGGCATCTTTGTCAATGATAAGTTTGTCTTTATCTTGACAGTAACTACCGGCCATTTTTTATTAGACGTATATGCAACTTTAATTGATGAATGCATCCTCCTCGAAACAGTAACTCCAAACATATTACAAATAACATTATAAACAACAACAGTGGATTTTGCTAGTTAAGCTCGAGCTTTATGTAAGCACGTATTTCAGCACCTTAAACTGAGAGTTCACCAGTCAGTTACATGTGAAATGCGAATATAATTCTTAATCGGTTGACAACATGCATGGTCTTGGTATCATTTGAAAGCAGATGTTGGGTACACAAGCACAAGAATCACAAGCTGAATTAGAAAACATACTTTATATTGCATTCCTATCGACCCATCTTCGTATATAATATTGCTATTTCATTGACAAATAGTATATCATGAAATAAATGTTAGCAATATTTTCATGTTTTAGGTTCATTTTGAGCTTTCCACCGATACATTTGATTCGCACTTGTTTGCACGCTCTAGAACAGTAAATAGTATTTATATACTAGTTTTAAGGTGTGCAATTTATAGACGATCAACATCTATTATTTATTTTCAGTGAATATTTAAAGCTTTTAGTTGATTTTGGAATTTTTGATGAAAGTCACCACTCGAGATAAATAATTATTGAAAGTAAATACCCATGCAGAAGGGAACGCATGTTATGGAATCAAGTATTGAAATAAGAGATTCAGTGCAATCAGACAATGAAGAGTTTGATGCGATCAGGTTTGAAGAGGAATATACAAACGCTTATTTTGATACTTACTTTGAAAATGGGTCTCATCAAATAAATTTTACATCTGTAACCAAATGTCAGACTGACATACATTCTAATATATCATCGAATGAAATATGTGCACCAGCCCATATCTCATCTAACTTGGTATGTGCTTCCCCATCAACAACTTCTTCATTTAGTATTTTGGATGAAGGTAATTGTCTGGAATTTCCAAATAAACCATTGCAAGAACCTTCACAAAACCAAATTGCAGACCCATTGCCAGAATCAACACCAGAACCTCCGCAAGAAACATTTGAAGAGTCCCCGGCAAAACTTACAACAAAGCAATTACAAGAATTGTCGGAAGAACAAAAGCCTAACCCATCGGCTGAAAAAACGTCAGATATATTGCCAGAAGACTCAACATCAAACATACTAACAACAGAACCATTGCAAGAACAATGGGAAAAGCAAGACTTAGAGTCAGCAACCATACGGACAACAATTCAATTTGAGGAACGGTCAACAATTCATTTGGAAGAGCAACTGTCAACACCACCACAAGCACAGTTGAAAGAACAGTTGACAACTTTATCACAAAAACCAACAACAAAACCATCAACGGCTCAACTGATACAACAATCATCAAAGCAAATAACAGATCTATTGCAAGAACAAATGCAAGAAATATCGCTAGACCTTTCACGACAAAAAACATCAGAGTCATCGCAAGAACAATTGACAGAACCATCATCAAAATGTTTGCTACTTTCATTACCGGAACCATTGCGAAAACAGTTGATAGAATCCGCACTAACAAACGAACCAGTGGAAGAAACACCGCTAGAACAACAGTCAGCACCAGTAATATCTAAACCACTGTCATCGACACCACTGCCTCCTCCCGCACCACCCCTTCCATCTTTTGATAAACCTAATACTGCTATATCAACGTGTCCTAACATTGTTTCCAATATACCAACTCCTTCAGTTGAAATGAAACAGTTGAGCTGGGTGAAAATTCCGGATAAAAAATACGAAGGTAAATACAGTTCGATCAGTAAGGTATGGATGTACAAAATTATTATGTATTTTGATATATATTTACTCAATTTTAAGTTCATATAAGTAAAATCTAAAATAATATTATCATTGGTAAAACGGTCCCAGAAATGATTTTAATATTGATAGTAAATACATATTGTCTCGTACGAAAGCCTAATAACGAAAGCCTTATAGTGTCAAATAAAATAAAAAAATAAAAATGCAAAGGCGTAATAACGCGTATAAAGGCGTTATTACGCAAATCAAAGGTGAAGTAACGCGAATAAAGGCGAAGTAACGCGAACCAAAAGGCGTAATAACGCAAATTAAAACGCATTATAATGCCAATTTAATACCATGTTTATACTAATCAAATGGCCTTGTAACGCGAGAAAGGAAGACCAATATTGATCTGAATTTATTGCCCAAGATATAAACTCGTATAGAATAATATAATATAAATTTACAATAACTATCATTCCATTTGCGGAGTAATAATGCAAACTATTTATCATAAACTAATGAAGACTCTTTAATATTTGCCAATATAAGGTGACTTGGTGACTTATAGGTCCTTTGGACTGGACGTAAATACAGTTACTCTGAATTTCCATGTATCACATCACTGATTTTACACATGTCACTATAGTAAATAAATTTCTTTTCTTTTCTTATTTTATCTTATCATATATCTTATCTTATGTTATATGTTATATGTGCGTCATATGTTCAATTATCTTCAGATATATCCTGTATAATTACTTAATAACCTGTAGTATCTTCTAATTATGTGAATGTCGTTCCTAATTACGCTATAGGTAATAGGCTATAGGTAACAAGATTTGAAAAACGTACGGTATACGTAAGTCACATTAGGATGAAAGTACATTTTAATTATTTATAGGTATGCTTAGGAGGGTGAAAGTGTTTTAGTTTAGTCATAATAATAGGATACATTGTCTTCTTTGTCTTTTTAGAAAAGTATCTATAGCTGGGTGATAGTTAAGCTCTAATCTGACGAAAGCATTTCCTTATAAGAGATTAAAAACATCGGAGTGTGACCTATGGACGTATCCGTACAGAATTGAAATTATAACGTACATCTTGATCAATTCATTTAGATCAACATTGTTCTTCCTTTCTTACATTACTAGGCCACTGATTTAGGAATTAATATGATACTAAATAAGCGTTATAACGCCTTTCGTTTTGCGTTATTACGCCTTTTGGTTCGCGTTATTATGCCTTTATGTTCGCGTTATAACGCCTTTATTCGCGTTATAACGCCTTTGATTCGCGTTATTATGCCTTTTGTTTCGCGTTATAACGCGAATTGAAAGGCGTTTTAACGCGAATTGAAAGGCGTTACAACGCGAATTGAAAGGCGTAATAACGCGATTCAAAAAGCGTTATAACGCGAAACAAAAGTCGTAATAACGCAAATAAAGGCGTTATAACGCGAATAAAGGCGTTATAACGCGATACAGGCGTTATAACGCGAATGGAAAGGCGTAATAACGCCTTTATTCGCGTAATCACGCGAAACAAAAGGCGTTATTACGAGAATAATGGCGTTATAACGCGAATCAAAAGACATAATAACGCGAATCAAAAGGCATTATAAGGTGAATTAAGGCGTTATAACGCGAATCTAAAGGCGTAATAACGCGAACCAAAAGGCGTTATAACGCAAAACAAAAGGCGTTATAACGCTAATTTAATACCATATAAATTCCAAACAGTGGCCTAGTAATGTAAGGAAAGAAGAGCAATGTTGATCAAAATGTACGTTATATTTTCAATTCTGTACTGAAACGTCCTAAGACCACAGTCTGATTTTTTAAATCTTTTATTAGGACAAGTTTTCGTCAGATTAGAGTTTAACTATCACCCAACTATAGATACTTTTCTAAAAAGACAAAGAAGACAATGTCTCCTATAATTATGACTTAACTGAAACACTATAACCCATTTAAACATACCTATCAATAATTAAGATAATTATACTTTCATCCTAATGTGACTAACTTATACTTTACGTTTTTCTACATCTTGTTAACTATAGCCTACTATTGCGTAATTAGGAACGACATTCACATAATTAACAGATACTACAGGTTATTAAGTAATCATACAGGATGTATCTGAAGATAATTGAACATATGACGCACATATAAGATAAGATAAGATAAGATATAAGATAAGAAAAGAAAAGAAAAATTTATTTACTATAGTGACATGTGTAAAATCAATGATGTGATACATGTGAATTCAGAGTAACTGTATTAACGTCCTTTCCAATGGACCTATAAGTCACCAAGTCACCTTATATTGGCGAATATTAAAGAGTCTTCATTAGTTTATGATAAATAGTTTGCATTATTACTCCGCAAATAGAATGATAGTTATTGTAAATTTATATTATATTATTCTATACGAGTTTATATCTTGTGCAATAAATTCAGATCAATATTGGTCTTCCTTTCTCACGTTACTAGGCCATTTGATAAGTATAAATATGGTATTAAGTTGGCATTATAAATGCGTTTTAATTTGCGTTATTACGCCTTTTGGTTCTCGTTACTTCGCCTTTATTCGCATTACTACGCCTTTTGATTTGCGTAATAACGCCTTTTGATTCGCGTTATAACGCCTTTATTCGCGTTATTACGCCATTTGATTCGCGTTATAACGCCTTTATTCGTGTTATAATGCCTTTTGATTCACGTTATAACGCATTTTTTCGCGTTATTACGCCTTTTGATTCTCGTTTTAACGCCTTTATTCGCGTTATAACGCCTTTGCATTTATATATTTTTATTTTATTTGACACTATTAGGCTTTCGTAGTCTTGCATCAAACGCGAAAAAAAAATCATTTTACAAAGATTGTTTAAATTGTATTGCAGAAAATGAAGATAACGTGTGGAGACATGTTCATGCTAAAAAGGATCCACCTAAGATTGATATTAGTAATTTGGAAACACTATTTTCCAAAAAAGAAGAACCTACGATAAAAGTATCTGGTAATGTAAAGGTAAATATAGACTGAACATTTGACAGGTGGAAAATACAATTCTTTTACGCTCTTCATATAAATGCGTTTAACATATTACAGTAAAAAATTAGATTTCACCAGATCTTGAAAAATCAAAAGATAGATATGAGAGATTTATTTGGCTGAATTTAATAAATCTCATCTATAAGGGGCTAGACATGTTGAAGTTACTGAATGTCGTAATGGTTTATCTTTTCACGGATTGGTTTGCACACATCATATGTGTCACTGATATTTACACCGTGAATGTTTCTTTGAATATATATGTAACGTTTTATTTTCTAACAAAGAAAATAAATTTACATTTGATAATATACTAGTATTATTTGTTTTCAGGCAACGCAAGATGATTCGAAGAAGTCTTTCCCACTTGAAATATTTTTTAAAAGTAATCCAGCTCATCTTATAGTTGAGGGAATCAAATCTGGCCATGCCAAGAGCATAAGGCCTGACAGATTGTCGGAGTTACTAAACCTGATTCCAGGCCAAGACGAGGTAAATTTGACAAAACAGTTCACGTTGGTATATTTTAGAAATATGACACCCGTTAAGATCTCAATAATTAAAAATCAATATGGATATAATATATACTATGCTCATCCTGGAGAAAAAATATTTTAACAGAAATTTATTGAAATCTATGAAATTCGTACTGAATATGTCTAATTTGAATAAAAGAATGAGTAAACTATGTATGTGAATTGTTAAGCTTCGTTCCCAATTATAGGACATTTAAAGTTGGTCTTTTCTTAAAAAACTGCCAGTTTTTTAATGACACTATATATTCATATTGTGACCACCGATAGTATGTAGAATTTAAAACATAACATCTCTACTTTGTGTGAAGACAGAACATGTTTATTTTAAAATAAAGAGACTGTGTAGCAATTATGAATATTTTTGAATATTAAATTTGAGCATAGTATATCTTGAAAGGTTGCCTAATTTAGTTAGAATTATGTTGATTGAGGCTCGTCACAAACATATCCGCGTTAACGTTATCAATTTTCAACGCTAACAATATTGGAAATAATGATCCCGAAGTTGTAGATGTCTCACGCATATTATTGATGTTTTATTTTATTAAACCTTTTACCTCATATAGACGTGTTAGGCCTCAAGCAGTTAAAAATGTCCTGTTGAGGCCCCAAACACTGCTTTTCGTTTGAGAAATGTTGTTTAAAAAGTGATCACTTTTTCGGCGCCGCTCCCCATCAAAATGATACATAAAGGGGGTTACCAGAAGGGGGATGCACCCCTTCTGTTCAGGGGGAGGGGGTTGAATGGGGAGGCAGTCCCCCTTATCGCCAAAAAAAGTTTTGACATGTGACAGGCTAAAAATGGCCTCAGGTCAGTCTTAAGGTAACGTGTAACCAACGCTGAAAAGCCCCTACTCTATCTCAATCCGTTGAGAAGTTGCAGCACTTTGAAATCAGTTGTGATGGGAAAAAACAATGCAAAATTTGAGACGTCCCTTGTTGTCATTGTAACAAGGAATTGAGGATTGAGCATGCTGTTACAGCGGCTATGGTCCAGTCAACATTTGTGCCAAGTTTGATCAGTATTGAAGCTTTATAGCATTTTGAAATTGTAACAGGATGCTTTTCAATGAAAACGGCCATTCTTCACGATATGCTCATGGGGTAAAAGGTTAACATAAAACATTTTTTATTATTTTGATAAAAAATATGAAAACATATATGAATAGTGTTTACCATTTACATGTAAATACATTTATACATTATTTGAAATAAATGCAATATTTCAAGAATATACATAAACATGTATCGTTCAAGAGTTTTTTCTCGTGCCGATTCTTTAGCTCGGCAAGATAAAAGAATACGACGGTAGCACAGATAATCTCTCGCAAGTACAACGATTCCTCTACAATTTGGCAAAAATACCGAACTTGCATTTAAGAATAGAAATGATTGTCTTCAAAGAAACCTATGATGCCAACGACGTGGAAACAATTTGCCAAGATATTAATATACTGTCATCAGTATGTGAGATGTTGATGAATAACGAGTCACTGGTGACATTCTTAGGGTTTGTTCTATATGTGGGGAACATCATAAATAAGGTAAATACCAAAACTTCATTTATATTTTAATTCATATTGTATATTACTACTTATCAATAATAATGTCTCTGAAAAAAATAAAGTTTAGTATGTTACAAGAATTAAAAATATATATACTCAATGACCTATCGTGTGTATTATTTACTTCTGGTGTAATTGGGGGCTATGCATATTTCATACTATTCACCTGAATCAAGCAGTACTTAAACTTGTGACACATGTATACCATAAGAGAACAGCAGTGCATCAATTTGCGTCGGATCTGCTGTTTTTAATTCGTGCATTAACATAAAAATTCATTTTTAGAGAAAATAAAGTGTGTGTGGAGATTTATTATTGTTTGAAGTTTAAAGTTGAATACTCATGCAACAAATATGTTAACATATTGCCTTAAAAGCGAATGGTGCATACATAAGATCATTGCTTAACTAAGATAAGTAATAGTTTGTTCCATACAATTTTATTCTATTTATGGACAATATTCATGTCTGGTTAAATAACATAGACGTTCTGTGTTACTTCTCTTATAATAACCGACCGAACCAATATAATTTAACCCTTTTATACCCTTAAAGCTCGTGCAAATAAATGTAAAGACTGGATCTTATTTGAAATGTTAAGCCATATATTAAAAGGCATGAACAAAAACTACATATTTAATATCCTACAAACATATTATTATTTCTATGTTTGCAAAATGACATGCAAGTCACCTGCTCTTATACACTTGGGTAATGAGTAAAATGTAGGTATAAGACAATAGATTAAAAGGTTACAAAACAAGTTAGTGTTTTTAGAAACGTAACGTTACAAATGTCTAATTTTTGTGTACACTCATTGTAGGGAAACCCATCCGGTAATGCGGTAGGCTTTTATATACGCTCGCATAAAAATCTGCTGATGATGAAAATGAACATGGACACAGGGTCAAAATCAACAAAAGAAATGAATTTGTTACATTATCTGGTTAATGAGCTGATAGAAAAAAACACAGACGCTTTAAAGTTTGCAGAAGAATTCCTTGACCCTCTACGAAATGCACCAAGGTCTGAATCGTTCCAGAGCGTTTATAATAATAACAACAAAAAAGCTATGTTCACCATTTACCTATAGAGTAGACATTGGTTTATTGGTTTCTTAAATGCACTATAAATAAAACAAAATACAATTTAAGTTTTCTCTCGAATTTAAACATTCTATTTTATTAGGTTTTGAACATTGTTTTCTCGTTAAGGATACCCGCATCTTTTTACATGCGGACTTTATGCCAATCTAAGGAATTTCACGAAAAGGTTCCATGATAAACGCCTTATGAACAATTCGGTGGATGTTCAGTGATTAAACGTACCATGATCAGACATAAACAAACCAAGTATGTCATCTTTACAATTTCATCGTGTTTGACGACCTTTTGAGTTTCCTTTTTGACTATTTTTGACAAAATTGTGAGTGGAAAATAAGACGATTATTATTCACTTGCATTTGATGCATTGTCAACGTTGGAAAATAAGTAAATTTGAAAATTTATATTTGGTAATGACATGTAACAATACAAGGCTATTTACTCATTGATGTTACATTGAAAAGACAACAACATTTGTAAGGATAGTATTTGTTTTACTTTCAGATTGCACGAAACTCTCTGCAAAGTTGAAAGCTTGAGGAATAATGCAAACCGCTTGCAAAAATTTCTTGATGAAGAAAAGGAAATGAAGGAAGAAAAGATATTTGAAGATTACTCACATTTTCATTTGGTTTGCTGTTTTCTGTTTCAAGAATTTTATTAATAAAAAAGCTTTTCTTAGGATCTCAATATTTGAAAATGAATTGGATAAATGAGTAAAAATATGTGCAAGGGAACATTTAATGCAGAAAATTACAATGCTATTCACATCATGTTTGTTTAAAATTCATAAATGCTCAGTCAGAACTGTTACAAAAATGCTATAACATAATTTAATGTTGAGTTGTGCTAAATCATGTATTAAGAGGTGTTAGACGTTACTTTTTTTATTTATATATCACTACTATCATGAAAATGCTCAATTAACAAAATTAGCCTGCACGTTTTTTTTTGCTTTATGGGAGACATACAAGCTCTCTATTTGACCAATGTTTCGTTTTACAATATACATTTATCTGCATTTTAAGGAGGTAAACTCTGCTCTTGAGAAAATTGAGAATCGCAAAGAGGTGTTTCACGAATTATCTGGCAAACTGGCTCAATATTTCTGTGAAGATAAAGATTCGTTCAATTTCGATGAGTTTGTAAAAGACATGGAAAGTATTTGTCAGGGGATCGCGGAATGCAAGAAAGATTTAGTGCAAAGCAAAGCAAAAGAGGGAGGATACCTATCAGATTCGCCAAGAAAGCAAAGAGGTAATAGAAAAAGAGTCATCCGTATGGCAACTCTCTGAATCCATGGCGCTGATATGGAAACATATGCCAACACCAACTTTAGTCTAGTACGAAAGGCTCTCCGTCTAAAAGTGCACATGCATTCATTATGTTCTACTTTACCTCTACTTGTTTGTTTGATGAGCAATTTTCACTGTGTGTTATATAAAATTTGGCTTCTAAAGCATGTTGTATGTCAGTAATTGTCAGCTGATACCGTTTTTTAAAAAAAACTGATAACATGGTGGCCTTAATTCTTATCTCTCAATAAAAAACTCAAACAAACACATTTTCTAATATAAATTATCAAGTTCTATACAAAATTAGTGTTTTCTTTAATCATAAATGTTTGAAATTCTGATAAGGAATATGTCTATAAGAAACAAATTTCATGGTTATAACATAATTGATAAAAAATTACCTTCCAATATAGTATTCGTATTGCTTAGAGGGTATTCAGGTAAATAGTTTCTTAATTCTGAGATATTTTTGTCATTTTGACAGCTTCTTTCTACAGAGAATCGTCGTTTCATAAAAGCGAAGAAATTGGAATAGAATTGAAAGACAACCCTTTGTTCCGGAGACGATCTGCGGCCTTTACACAAGACCCTCAATAAACCTTGTTGATTTTTATTTTGAAGTTTCAAAATAATAAAATTTTAATGCTTTTGTTGTAAAGTTGGAATCAACTATAATATGATATAATATATTACTCAGCATTGCATTATATTTCTACGATTAAGTTTGACGCAGTGAAATCAATTCAACTTGTCCTAGGACTAGATTATAATTATTTGATATGATTTGTTAAAAAGTCATATATGTTGTTACATAAAGATGGTGCTATCGTTGTGTCATATGGTACTCTCGTCAGTATCTGAGGAGTCCATTTAGCTGATGCATAACACATTTTGCAGTTAATATTTGAAAATGTCTTAATTTATTGAATGTTTTTTATCAATCAGTAAGTAACTTCGATGATTTCTTTAAACAAAAACTTAAATAAGAATTTGTAACCTTTTCGTTATTGTTGTTCTTTGAATTTAAACAGATATTCGTTTATGTAAAATATTCTTTCTGTTATAAAGTTCCTGTCGTAAAAACTCACACAATAACAGAAATTATATTCATCACTTTCTATTTAATCAGTTTAATTTTTTATTCAAGTAATCTGTACATACATGACAACTATGGGTTATAGTTATATGTTTAAATCACCTTGTCAAGGTAAATATCACTGCTGTTAATATAGATGTTTACACTTTGCTCATACAACCTTTATAAATCGATCTGCCTTTCATATTTGGTAGGTACACATCTTTGATCAGGTGGAGTGAAGAGACACTGAGGTCAAAGTCAAGAGCACCGATTCTCAAAATAGATTTTCACACTTTTGCTAATTCAGTCTTGGGCGTCCGTGGCCGAGTGGTTAAGGTATTTGACTTCAAACCACTTGCCCGTCAACGCCGTGGGTTCGAATACCGACAGAGACTTTGTATTGTTTCAAGTGAGGAAACTATCCACCCAGCTTAATAATTCAAGAAATAATGCTCGACTTTTCTCCATCATTAAAGCTGGAAAGTCGCTATGTGACCTATACTGTGTCGGTGCGACGTAAAACCCAATCAAACCAATAAAACAAACTCGTAAGTCTTAATATATTGAGAGATGTCATATTTGGTTGAAACATACTTAGGGTGGTCCTTTGGGTTCAGTAAGAGGCCACATGGCTCACTGTCAACGTAACGAATGCATTCACTTATTCTTTAATGTTAGTATCTTATACTGTTATATGACTTGTTGGTCTTTGGGGCAGTAAAGATCAAAGTTACCGCAGCAAAAATAAATATTTGCATATCTAAAAACATTGACAAACATGCAGAATTAGCCTTTAGCGATATGTTTAGAATATGAAGGAATATGTATAGATATTTGTGCGATATGTATATAATTTGAATTGTTGTTACGGTTTCTAATAATTATTTCAAACATTTTTTTCATGTTTAAGAATGTAAAAAGTATAGTAAGTACGTTTGATTAACTATGAAAATATTAATATATTACATTTAGATATGTTTTACATAAAATGAGGTCACGGATCAGATTTAAGTAAGCAAATATGAGATAGTACTGCAATCTAAAAATACTGCAATGTAAAAAAAAGAGTGATAAAGTGTCTAAGTTATCTCAGACTTACGTCATTCCTGCTGTTTTACTGCATTCTTGATTTTATTTTTTATGATAAATATTCTACATAAACATTTGTTGTATTTGTTTTTAATAACCTCGTCACCGACATGGCGTTCTGGTATTTATCGGAAAACACCGCAGTCATCCTAGGAGCTCCGATGTCGTCTTTTTAAAAAAAAAAACTTTATTTGCTTATTCATAAGTCCTATCAACAAAATAAGTATAGTGGATCGTGCCTTATCGTCGGCGATACTCTTCAGGTGACAAATATCTGATATTTTTTTATAAGTATCCCAAATTCCAATAAAGACCCCACTTGTTTTAAGTTTAATGTAATCGAGTTAATTTATCAATCTCAAATAATTGAATTGTCCGTCCAATTCAAGGTGGTCCTGGTAATGTTAGCATTACTCATGTCAAGAATATATCACCAACTTGTCTCATCAAGAAAATGTAAAATAGTCATTAAATCTATTCACAGTAGGCAGATATTTACATTTTCTATTGTCACATAATGTCGCTATGATTTATTTTCGTTTTGATATCACTGGTAATGTACACAATTGATAGGTATATTGTAGATTTAATAGTCTAAGAGTAGATATGGGGTCCCAAAATCATGTAAATAAGTAGACAAGTAAAAAAGATAACAAATTACTTGAATACGAAAAGCTTTGCTGCTTTACTGGCTCATTTCTTTTCAACTGCAGAACTCACTGACCTTGTTCAGTACTAAAATAGAGAGAATTAAAGAATCCCTAAAGAAAGCCCGACAAGACAAAATTGAAAATGTTGCAGGCTCGGTTTGATTGAGCCTGTCCATGAACGGTAATGGAAAAATTTAAGAACGCCGGTTATCAGCATATGTTATCAGATTTTTAGGTTTGTGCTAAATGGAAGTTTACATTTATGACTTTAAGCTCATTGTAGTTTGTTGAAAGCTTTGTTACATGCAATGACTAATTATAAAATGTACACGTAATTAGAATAAAATGTTCCGGAACAAAATATGCCATTGCTATTTTAATAGGTTTAGGGACGATTTTATGCATACCCCTCTTACTTTCAATAGTTCTTTCACGGTAGGTAATATGTAATCCTTCTTAATCACAATATGTACAATAATTTTAAAATCCACATATAAAAATCTATAACTTTATACACCTTAAGATTGCACCAAATATTTGCATATTGTTATACTTTCATCGTTATGAAGAGATGTAATGGAACACAACATTGAGACCATTCTCGCATTATGTGAATCGATCAACTGTTTAAGTACAGTTTTTCATACTCCCTCCAGCGCACAGACGGAAATGGTCTGGAAAAACTAACCAAATGCTGGGTTCACTTTTCTTTTGAGGTTTGAGTTTGAAAGAAAATGTTCTAAAAGATGTTCTTTGTGTATAGAGACATATACCCGATTTTTCTTTTCTTTAAAAAATCTCATTTGCAGATTATATTGAGATGCAAATAAGTTTCCTTTTCTTCGCATAAAAGACTCCTTTTATGTGAAAGAAACCAAGAAGCTGGCCGTTTTGAACTGACAAAGGTAAATTTTTTTTTGTTTCTTGGCTTTTAGCCAATGGAAAAATCATTCATTAGTAGAGGGCTAATGTACCGTTTTAGTGTGCCAACAGAAGCACGAAGACGTATTTGAAGTCCGAGGCCGCAGGGCGAAGGGTTTAATAATTTATTATCTTTTTAAATATAGCCGACAAAATTGTTAAGGATGAATAAAGATTATTCTGTTCGTCATGCTAAATAAATCACAATTTTTAGGCAAATATGAACTCTTGTTATTGTCAAACTAAATGCTGAGAGAATAAGAATTATTTCCAGATACATGTAAAAAGAAATTTCAAGTATAGCATACAACATCTTTTTGCACATTTGAATTGCTTCTTTATTGTTTTGTATTTTGCATAAATGTTAAAGATGGTAGTAGAATAGTTTCTGTTTTCAACACTTCTAGAACTTTCATTGCATTGCGTGCTTCCTTTCAGATTCCATGCCCGCCCGCTTAGCTCCTCAATACGGAGAACATTGAGATTAGTAAGCAACGATCACTGGTTATAGCCTCGGGCGAGACATAATTTCTTCTTTACAATTGATCTTGAGATCTTAGACATTTAGTTTAAACGCCATTTATCTCTCAGCATTGATATAGAAATCAAGTAGGATCAGTACCCGATCACTTGCGGAAAAATTGGCTTTTATTAATAAGGTATCAAGAAAAGTCGTTTAGGGGGATCAGTACCCGAGATATGACCCAAAAAAGATTGCGTTAACATCGGCTTTTTTTCCGAGCAATAACAAAAAGCCTTCGTTCTTTCTATTGAAAGCAAATGCGCTCGTTGCATGCAAATTGCAAGCTAAAATATGGACATGTAAGACTCAGTATTTGTCATAAACATTGCAATAATATTCTTATGAATGTCAGTGACGTTTTATTCCTTATTTATAAAGATATATAAGCCAACTTGAAGTATAATTTGACAACCAAAAGGTTACTGAGCGTTGTAATAAACGTTAAAAAACAGTTTATCTGTTAGGTCATAAAGGATCTCAAACAATACACATATTTGACTTTTAAATCATATTCAGAAACATTTAACGAAGTGATAGACCTGTCTTGGCGGATGATTTTTGGCAGAGGATACAATTATGTGATAGACTGTTTGTGACGGAGCAAGTCTATATCATAACAAGTTGAATGAAGCCAAGCCATTTTAAAAACTGAAAATTTCCAAACATCATGATTATGTTTTAAGTTTTCAATTTCAACAATATGAATTAAAGGTCGGTTAGATATTACCAAATGTGGCGTGCCGGTATGTTTAAGGTAGTGTTTTGTTATAGTTTTTGTTCCTATTTCAAAGAAACAGTTACAATGCTGTCCATGTTTTGCACGTCTACATCTTATGTTTATATGTTTTGTAATTCATCAACATTTCAAACTGCCAGAAACTGGCGCCTTTAGACCATCAGTATATAAATATAAATCAGATCTACGAAAACGTGCCTAAACCATTCAAAAAACATATTGCAGCAGGAAAAAAATACAAAATTTGTATGTTTGCTTAAACTTCTTTTTTCATTGCATTGGACGATTTTGCACATACATATTAATATGAACAGAACATACTATACAATAACTTATTGTCCGCAAAAAATAGAGAAAATAAGAATCCCTAAAGAAAGCCCAACACGGAATAATTGAAAATGTTGCAGGCTCGGTTTGATTGAGCCTGTTCATGGACGGTACTGTCAAGTGCAAACTATCGTCCACGCCCCCTAGCACCGGCTTAAGCAGAATTCAACATTTACAACTGGTACAATTTTGAATTTTGAAACATCCGCAGATGTATTCATATGGTGGTTACATGGAACCTTCAATGTGACACGTAAGTGCCATTCCATGAAAAGCGGCATATGGTCCCCAAGTAAAATAATGCGTGTGCCCTAAACGAGATGAAAATTACAGTTTTTCTAAGGCAAATGGGTCTTCACTTGTACGTTTCCATTTTTTATTGGATGGGCATATTGCCACTTTAAATTTAAGGGGCAAAAAAACAACACTTTGTATTGTATTCTCTCCAAAATATGATATCAGTAATGAAGTCTGCAATGTCTGAAACGCATGGTTATTAGATAATACATTTATTTGACAATCTGTGAAATTAAGTGAATTTAAGCTAAGTAAGTATACATAAAATTGAAAAGACTGAGACAAATTGATGTTAAAAATGTCTGTATAAACCAATAAACTTAGAAACCCATAGCATAAAAAAATCCCATTTCTGTACTGGAACAAATTACTATACTGTCATTCAAGTCTTAAATTTTCCCCGGTAACATTGGCAGTATCTAAATACTTATTGCCGTGTTTGTGGAATTTGTTATCCAAAGTGGTAAAGTTTTAATAACATGACAACATATAAGATACATGTATAAAATGAAAAACACCGAACGAATTGAAATAATTATTGACTACTTATCACACCTATAGCATCACATATATCAAAGAACATTATTTTTATCGACATAAAGGCAAATAAAGTGTCTTGGACAGCTTATTAGATATTGAATATTGCAAGTAAAATACTTAATATGTACTAGTATTTTGAAATACAGACATGGAAATCATTGCTAATCTTTATAACAAAAATTATCAAATTAAATTAAATCTGTTTGTAAAGAAATTTTCTCATATATTCCACCCGAAACTGTTTCCAGCTGATTTTTTTATAGTTATCAAATCCATTTTTGAAACTTGGAATTAATATGCTGATAAAATTGTTTTGCATATAAGATAGAACTGTCGAAAGATAAACATTGGTACAATATCTTTTCTACATTAAATAATAATTTCGATCTTTTTTACATTTTCGCTTTATCTTGACCGACTGTAAGGAGTGAAGTTTAAAATATTTTTATGTTTGATTGAGTATGTTGGCATTTAATTAATTGTTCATTTTGACTGGCAACGAAATTGGCGCCTTTTATACGTCATTAAATTTCTATCCTTTAAGAGGTTGACACCTATTTGTTCCCAGGTCAGTGCTAAATGAATAAATGTCTAAAAGCAGACACTGATCTTTTAAGCTTGTTTTTTTTACCAAATGCTTCTTTAGCTTATTTTTCTAGCAAATGCTTCTTTATCATTTGATCAACTAGTTGTACACAGACAAAATAAGGTATATATTATGGCTTGTTTATATCCGTATTATATTATGTCAAGTATAAAGTCATCTTTGGTTTTTGTAAAATGAAGTTATAAGAATCCTCCATGTCCGACGCACGTATAGACCCATCCATCTCAAGTTTAATGATGTCATATTAAATGATATTAATCAAACCAAAGGTTAATAAATATTTGAATACTAAATATTTGTTCGGTTGTGTTTTCAATTATCACTCACGAACAAACTAAACAAACCAAGTCTGCTAAATTTATCCCTGTTGAACTTCTGTTTTTATTGCTTTCAAGCGATCTCATCTTTTTCTGATTTTGATGTTTGATATATACATAAAAAGTGCTTCCGTAATAATACTTTTTCAAATTT